AACCGTGAATCTAAAACACCTACGACTGGATGATATTGGAACTTCTAAATGTGTAATTGTCGTTTGATAGTCCCTATATACTAAGTACATTTGGCTTAGATTATAGGGAAGATTTGTTGTCTTGCACCCCAGTATTATATGATTTTGTCAAAGACCATCGCCTTAAGTGTTGTGTTGCATTGGCATCCTAGACATCATCCATGGTTTGCTAAATCATGAGGAGGACTGAACTAAGTGAGCCTCGACATCATCCATAGTTTTCTAATTAATTTGTGAAACCCCATATCCTAAGTGTTGTATTGCAGCGTCCATCTCAGATTTGCTGGCTCCCCACCTCATGTTTGTTCCACAACTTGTCCATATCCACCAAGTTCAAACCGTATAGTTTGCCTAGCCCTCCTCCCCCTTTTTATACTCCACCTACTCATCAATTCGGTCGCACCTTTTCCTTGCTTACATCCCTTATCTCAACTACCCAGATCCCTCCCAGGCACCCCCTCCTTCTTCTTTTAGCCCTTCTACCCTCTCACCCCTACCCTCAACCGTTTCCCTCTTTACCCTACCCCTTCCCCTACTTCTCTCTATCTGCCTTTTTCCCACCTGAGCTCCCAATCTTCTTTAGCTGATGACCCTGTTTCTTCACCCCTCCCCTCACTACCCCCTGACCTCTACCCCTCCACCCTCTTTCTCTCCTTGGCTGACACAGATACCACCTCACAAATCACCCCTAGAGCCGCAACTGATTTCCTCCGAGGTTGCTACTTACCCAGAGGCAACCAAGGTCCCACTTGGTCAACCTGAGAACCCTAATGCTCTTGAGAACTCCATGGCACCTAGTCCCCCTAAGGCTCCCGTCTCCTTTGCTCAGGTTGTTGAAGACTCCATCGAGGGAGACAGTGATGGGAGGAAAAGAGAACAAAAGTTGAATGGGGCACTTAGGGAAGAAGAAAGGATGAGTAATATGTACATACTCATGGTGTTCCAATACGACAGTCTTGAAGGACCTGTTCACAGATTCATCACAGCTGACGCTCAGAGCAGGATGTAGGTGAGATTCAGAGGTCAAAGAGAACTCTGTAACCTCTTTTCCTCCTTACCTTTTGCCGAAAAGCCTTTAGACTGCCCTCTCTCTTCTTCCACTGTTGACCGCCTGAGGAGGTCCCCCAGACTAGCCTCCACTTCTTTATCTGTTTCTAAAAAATGGAATTACTCATCTAGAATGTGAGAGGGCTAGGACAGACCTCTAAGAAGGACGCAGTCAAAGCCTTCACCTCCAAGCTTACTCCCACCATTCTTGCTCTCGAAGAAACCAAATTACCAGACCCAAATATCCAACTCATCCGCCGGGTATGGGGTAGAAGACCTTGCCAATGGGTCTCATTACCGGCGAATGGGGCCTCAGGAGGTATTTGGGTGGTCTGGGACCCCTCTGATCTTACTCTAAACTCCCACTTTCTGGGGGAGTTTTCTGTCACCCTTCTCCCCTCCAACATATCAAATGGGACCCCTTGGAAATTCTTGGCTGTATATGGGCCAAACTTACAAACCCTCAAGAACAGGTTTTGGGCATAACTGGACCATGTAGCATCCCTTCCACACCCCGTATGGTGTGTCGTTCAATGTAGTTAGATGGTCCCATGAGGGGAATTCCTCAACTTCGATCACTCAAGAGATGAGGGACTTCTCTGATTTTATCAGCCGCAATGAATTGATAGATATCTCCCTTTAAGGTTGTCAGTATACTTGGTCTAACCACTCCATTTATCCCACCATTTCAAAATTAGACAGGTTCCTCCTTTTTGTTGGTTGGCAGGAAAAATTCCCAAGATCCTTATCTTTGGCCCTTCTTAAACCGAAGTCAGATCACTGTCCCATTCTGCTTGATACTAATGCTATCACTAAAGGTCCCAGACCTTTCATATTTGAACTTCATTGGCTTCAAGAAGAATCCCTTCACACTCTTGCCTAAACCTGGTGGAGATCCTTTCTTCCCAAGTCACAGGTAGAGCAGGTTACATCCTGTAGACCAAACTCCAACTCCTAAAATCAGCCCTCAAAACATAGAGAAGCTCCATCCCCAGAAACTTCTCCCATACCATGTCCTTACTGTTAAAAACCATCAAGAATTGGATATTCTCAAGGAAACTAGATTGCTGGATGCCTCAGAGCAAGATCTTAGATCCAAGTCTAAACTGAAATACCTTTCTACTCTCAAGAAAGAAGAGATTTACAGGTTCCCGAGATCACAAGTTTCCTGGTTGAAAGCGGGGGACCATAACACGACCTTTTTCATCGGATACCTAACTGTCGCAGAAGAGAAAACACTATCTCGATGATCAAAGTCAACAACACCTACCTTACCCAACCTGAAGACATAGAGTAGGCTATCATAGAGTTCTTTCAGACTCTATACCCAACTCCATCTGGCCCGAGACCGTGAATGTCTTCCCTGGATTTCTTAACTCTATCAACGCTCTAGCCAAAGACAAGGCCCCAGGACCCGACGGTTTTTCGATTGCTCCTTTCAAAGGTTTCTGGGAAACTTTCCATCCTGATCTCCTCCTCTTTTTTGAAGAATTCTTTCAAAGGGGAACCCTCCACAAAGCCTTAAATGCCACCTTCTTAGCACTGGTTCCTAAAGTAGAAGGAGCAGAGGAGGTTAAAGATTCCGTCCAATCAGCCTTCTAAATTCATCCTACAAGATTCTGGCAAAAGTCCTCGCCTCCTGGTTTCAACTTATCCTCCCCTCCATTATCTCCTCCTCTCAATCTGTTTTCAGAAGTGGTAGACAATTCTCGATGGGATTTAGTGGCCCACGAGTGTATTCACTCAAGACACCGATCTAGACTAACAGGCCTTATCTTCAAAATCGATTGGGTCAATACTGGACGAGTCCATGGTAAGAATGGGCTTTGGGCAAAGATGGAGAATGTGGATGAGAGGTTGCTACTCCCATCCACACTTCTGTATTCTCAACAATGGATCTCCAAAAGGATATTTCCCCTCCTCGAGAGGTCTCCGTCAAGGAGATCCAATTTCCCCCTTCTTGTTTGCAATTACAGCAGAAGTTTTCAACCGCTCTATCTCCAGAATTTACCAGGCTCGACTCCTCTCTGGCTTCAAAACCAGCAGACATGGCCCAACGGTGTCTCATCTGCAATACGCAGATGACACCCTGGTGTTTTTGAAAGCCTCTCCAAGCGAAGTGAGTACCCTCAAACTGTTCCTCAACTGTTTCCAGACAGCAACAGGGTTCAAAGTTAATTTGCAAAAATCCAAAATGCTGGGTGTGGCAATGACAACAGCAGAAGTCAGAGCTCTCGTGCCAAGCTGGGGTTGTTTTGTAGACGAACTCCCTACCACCTACCTTGGTCTGCCTCTAGGACTTGGGAAACCAAAAAAGAGACAATGGTCCCATGTCCTAGGCAAGGTAGATAGGCGCTTGGCAGGGTGGAAGGGCAGATTCCTTTCAATGGTAGGTAGAACAACTCTGATCAAAGCTATTATAGCGAACTCCCCAATTTACCTAATGTTCCTCTTCCATATGCCTGCACAGGTGGCTAATCGTCTAAACCAACTCATGAGAAACTTCTTATGGTCGGGGCAGGCTGAGAAGAAGAAAGTTTCATCTAGTAGCTTGGGACAAAGTTTGCCAACCCAAAAACCAAGGTGACCTAGGTATCAGAGTCCTCCGAAAACACAACTTGGCTACCCTCGGGAAATGGTAGCAGCACCTTACCACTCAGCCAAATGCTCTCTGCGCACAGGTCCTAAGGCATAAATATCGTATCCCTGAGGGTGCTTGGATGCCTGAGAGGATTCAGCGGCACAACACTTCAGGAGCTTGGAAATCATTCTCAACAGTCTTCACTTTTACAAAAGGTTTGTAAGATTCCACCCAAGAGAGGGCTTGAGAGTAAAGTTCTAATCGGATTTGTGGTTAGGACCTTCCCCCCTGCGTGAGGAGTTCCACTAGCTCGAGACAAAGAATCTCAATAACCGAGAAGATGACGACCATTGGGGGGCGTAGAGTTTGGAACCCCTCTTTCTGAAGGAATCTAACAAAAGAGGAAACCAGCCACTTCTAGGTTCTCTCAACAACCCGACACTCTACCTTTATCCTACCTCAAGGTAACGATGATATTGTTTGGACCCTAGCCTCTTCAGGGAACTTCTCGGTTGCCTCTTTCTATAAAAGCTTAACCCTTTCACCTACCCCCTCGAGATCTAATAACTTGGTACAATCTAGAGTTTGGGCCACCATTGCTCCACCTAAAGTCCAGACCTTTAATTGGCTAGCCTTCTCCCACAAAGCCCTCACAGTGGACCACCTACAAAAGAGAGGGATCCCCATTCCTAATAGGTGCGCTGTGTGTGAATGTGAGGAGGAATCAATTCTCCACCTTTTTATCCTTTGCGGTTTCTCCTTTGACCTCTGGAGGAAAATACTACAACTGTTCGGCATCAAGTGGGTCACTCCCCCTTTGGTCAAGGCTTTGATTTCTTGATTCTTGCTGGCCTAAGGCCGGAAGAATCTTGTGGAAGGAAACTGTAGCAGCAACCATCTGGACAGTTTGGCTGGAAAGAAATTCAAGAATCTTTCTAGGCTCTAAACTCCAAACTCCAGCTCTCTTTCACAAGGCAGTATCTCTGGTCACTTTTTGGGCCTCAAACCACAAGGTCTTTTCGGGTATCCCAAGGAGTTTCTTCCTTACCCAATGGCATAATGTCCTCCTCCATCAAACGCAAATGGTCACGAGGCCAAATAACTAGCAACCTCCTCCAGAGGGCAAAATCAAGTTAAATTTTGATGGGTGCTCCCTAGGTAATCCGGGCCTAGCTGGGCCAGGGGGGGTCTTTAGAGACCATGAAGGCAATATTCTCCTTACTCTTTCTGAGCACCTTGGCTTAAAGGATTCCCATCAAGCAGAAGCCTTGGCCCTTTTAATTTCCTTGAAAAACTAAAATCAAACTTGGGGCTCACACCTCATAGTGGAAGGTGACTCACAAAATGTCATCTCCTGGCCAAGTCGAACAAGCTCTCCTCCATGGCATCTAACTCTAATTTTTGATGAAATTCACCACAATTGTAGGGCTATGGACGCCTCCCTGAAACATATCTGGAGAACGTCCAACGACTTCGCAGATCGCTTGGTGAAAGAGGGAGCTAGAAGTCAAAGTCAGGAAGTTCAAACTGGATCCACCTTCTTTTTTGCGCAGGACCAGTGGCACACATCTTAAACCTTTCTGTTCATAAGCTTTTCTTCAGTTGTATTTTTTTAAAGCTCAATGTAAATCAATGTAATTGGGCGACATCTATAAGTCTTTTTTGCACATGATAGACTAAACTATTTTTTTCCGAGTCCCCATGTGTGGGTGACTTCGGACCACCACAGCCTTGTAATACTTTCTCATTAGTACAAGGTAACCTTCTCTCAAGAAAAATATCATTCATAGTTTGCTAAATCATGAGTCTAATTGTGCCAAGTCCAGTAAATTGGGTGAGTTACAAAGGTATGCTGATTAATTTTTGAGAGATATATATTCCTATATAAATACTCAAGGTTAGTAAAACTCTGGGTATGTTGTGTGAGGAAGTGTGTTTTTAAAAACCTTACAGAAAATTGAGTCCAATCATAAGGAAAACCAGAGCACGCACGCAAGAAAGAACTCACACAATGCTCATAAAGTTTTATGGATTCGGGAACGAGAACTAGGTTGCTCATGAGCAGCTCGTTACAGTTTATAGCCATAAGCTTTTGCCAAGTGGAACACCCTTGATGGGGCTCTCAAGCAGTGTAGAAAAAATCGAACCGGAACAATTAACCAAACATGGAGCCGGAAGCGGTTACGCGGTCTGAACCAGTAAACCAACCTATTCAACCGGCCTAATCGGGGAAGTCCCAGGCATTTAAAGAAGTGTTGAAAAAATAAAAAATACTAAAAAAATCTAATAAAATATGAAAAATATATTTAAAGCATGATAAAACAATGCACATCCAAATGAAGTTTGAAAATTAATGAAAAAGATAGGATTTTACATAATCAATTTGTGCCCGATTTTTCCTTCATTGCTTTCAACACAGTACACTTAAACTAGATTGGAAGGTTAGAGTATAAAACATGGAATTAGATAGAACCCGACAAAGTATATGACTCCATCTGCTCTTGTGGATATAAGAACATGAGGGGGACTGTGCACCTCTACCGTTCTCTCCTCCTCTTTCTCCTTCCTGCTGAAAATGGGCTGAGTATGTAACTTCCCTTCTTGGCTAGATGATAATCTCAAGAGGCGAATTCACAAAGTGAGTATCTTCAGCCTCGATCCCTTCACATACCTCTGATCTTTCTCTAGAAATCTTTCTTTTCCTCAAACTTTCTCTCTGTGCTACCAGTTTGAGTAAAATTTCCACTCCAAATTCACTCCTCTCTCTCTCTCAGCACTTGCTCTCCACCTCAAGGCTTCAAAATATGAAGAAGCTCTCCAAATGAGTAAAGCATGGGGTATTTATGAGCCAAGAGTGAGAACTAGGGGGTCTTTCCACTCAAGATAAGCAAGGAAAAAATTCGGATGGAATTTGGGCAGACCGCCCTAGATATTATATAAGTTGACTGGTGTCTCGATCCACTGGTGGGGTAACAAGAAGAACCCACATTTTGTGGTCATTTTTCACCCCTCATTTTGATGTCTTTTCATGGCTTCTTATCAAACTCCCTTTTGTGCATTGATATGGCATTGAATTTGGGGTCCTTGTGACTTAATTTTCAATAGAACACCTAAAAAATGGAATCATGGTCCAATCATGATCGACGGCTCATGTGATGTTATATGCAGCAGTCTTTTTAATAACCTATATCTACAGCTCAAACCGCTTTCCAATCTGGATTTAATATATTTAAGCTCTTTGTGTAATCTCGTATGGCATTGAGGAAGATTATTTTAGCAAAAATTTCAGCTCGAAAGGCCCACAGATGATGGAGAAACCATGAACAAAAGCCTCAGAATTTCTGTAAGCTAATCCCAAGGGGTCCCCTCTGATTCAATCCAGGATCTTGGAATTATTGCCTAAAACATGCATATGGTCTTATTAGGCAGAAAGTGAGGACTGAACCACCCAAATTTCAGCTTGGATGGGCTTCATAAAATGGATAAAAAGGACCGCAGCCCGGTGGTCAGTCCGCCTACTGATGAATAGGGATATTTCAAGCCACCGGCAGGGTGTTTGATCCACTGGTGGAAACTCTAATCTAGCCCCAGGACATTGTATTATTAGAAGCTGGGTCAAACAGGGTATAAATGATTAGAGTTTTGGGGAATCGATTTGAGACTTGCCATATTAAAATCCCACAACATTTCACCCTGCTTAAAGATCGTTTCAATCAAAGATCCATTTTCTGGTGATTTTATCTCATCATTTACGTTTGACTATCAATCAATTTATATTCTGATACTCACTGTACTTCTAAATTTCCAAATAAATTTTTGTTTCTTCATTTTAAGTGAATTCAAATTCAGTTTTTCAACCTTCTATTTCCAGTACATTTTAATCTATTTCTTGGTGGTTTGCCTACTCGGTGTTATGGCTGCTAGGAATTCTTATTTTTTATTTGTTCTATTTTTAGTCTTGATTTTTAATTTATGGATTTTTTTCTAGTTATAGTGTCTATTTATATTTTAAATTTTTAACATTTTTATTTTTGATATAAAATGACAAAGAACAAACAGTTTGGGGTTTCGATTCCACAAATTTAAAGGCTAACACAATGCGCCATTCACCATAAACATCTTGATTATTAAAAAAAAAAAGAAAATCAAAGCTTCTTTAGCCTAGATTGTCTGTGCCAAGAATCAGTGTGCATTTCATCATCATTCAAGGCAATGATAGCAAAACTCTGCATAACGGCTGATAGCTGATATTACTAACCGAAATTTTCTTTTCAGAAAAGTAACTAAACAGGGACTTTTCAGCTCCCATAGTTTAAAAGGTTAGCCTAGTTAAATATTGGCCTTGAAAACCCAGTATAGTGCAAATATGACCACCGAAATGTTAGTGGCCTAGTGCATCTTTGATCAGGAAAAGCGAGGATTTCAGCCAACTTAAACTGCAGCTCATGAAAACTGATCATGACCAAAATTCCCAATGAAAATTCACCTAATTATAAACCAAAAAAAAACAGAATGGGGTTTCAGATTCCACCACTTGAAATTCTAAGCCAGTGAAGACCGGCGTAAAGACCTACTGTTTTTAAAATATAACCCAAATGGTAAACACCTGGGTTCATCTTTGTCAAGGAGAAAATTGACCACGATTTGGAAAAATTAAAAGGCATGCATATCAAAAGTTGCAATAAAGAGCAAATAGGTAACTGACGTCGATAACGAATACATCAAAACAGCATCTGAGCAACTCACCATCGAAAATCACTGAATTTCCAACCAGAGAGGTAACCTGTCTTCTGCAAGAAAAACTTCCACTCTTCTTTTTGCGTATATTTCGCAGCGCCCACAAAAGCAGGCCTGAAGATCCCCTTCTCTGTTCTTCTAACCTCTGAGGGCCTCACATCATAAAATATTGGAATCATATGAACCTTGCTTTGATGCATCAGCCTAGCTCTTCAAGACAAAGAGCGTAATTCGAAAAATCCCTTGTTAAAATTACTATACAAACAGTTGCCTCATTAATGACCTCCTCAATGGGGATCGAACAATCTCTGCTGCAAAGAGTGGAGATATTGAGTTTCTGAAGGAGTAAGAGAAGGTCCTTTGCAATGCCATTTTGGACCTCAAGAGAAGGGGAATGGCAAATGAAGATCTCACATTTCCTCGAATCCATATTACATTTATTCACTTCCATCGTTGAAGTGTCTGGCCCGAAACAGCCAGAGAAAAGCTTCTGAGCTCGTGAAGATGAACTTCTCGGCATCTTTTCTCGAAATTTTCTCAGACTAGGAGATAAATACGTTAAGAGTTGCAGAGTTAGGGCTTTTTCAGGAGATGAATGCATTGAGAGTTGCAGAGCTAGGGTGTCTTTTGTAGTAAAAATGGAATGGAAGGGGAAAAGTGGATTCATCAAAATTGATGGATTAGGGCATTGAGGAGTCAATGGTGGGAAAGTCAATGATAACCGCAAATGATCCATTTTTTATGATTAGGATTCCGATGAAGAAGAGGAGTCTTGTGCTAAGGCCGCGAGCAAGTCGGAAGAGAGAGAGATTGTGGAAGAATGGTACAGAGGGAAGGAAGAAGAGTTCAGCTATAGAAATTGAACAAGAAGAATGGCATTGCAAAGTCTTAACAATCATATTTGAGCCTACCTAAAAAATTGAACAATCATATTTGAGCAATCATATATGAGCCTACCTAAAAAATTGAACAATCATATTTGAGCCTACCAAAAAATGCATCTTGATCCACATCAAGATGCATGAACATCACAAAAAAAAAATAGATTTCAAATTTTAAAAATAGTGCATTTTGTAACAGATTTTTGGATCGTTAATTTTCAAGATTTTCATGGATCTATCGATCTATGCTATTTTTGAAGCTTTAAATTTTATAAATAAAGATAAAAATATATTTTAAGGATATAACAAAAAATTTTAGTATTGAAACCACATTTCTCAATATTATTTGAAGGTAGGTTCTAAATTGATTGTTTAGAGCGGTGTTTTAAAAAACGGTGAGTCAAACAAAACACGCGCGCCCGTGCCGGTTCTAACCCCCCAGTTCTATAGTGGAACCGCTGGTTCCCATCCGGTTCTATCCGATTCAGCCCGGTTCTAGAGTAGAACCGCCGGTTCCCATCCGGTTCAACCCGATTCACACACGTACATGTGTGTCCAAGCGTACGTGGGGTCTGGTTCGACTCGAAACACGCGTGCCCGTGCCGGTTCCAACCAAAAATAGGGAACCGCTCGAGTTTTAGGTGGAACCGCTAGTTCCCATCCGGTTCTATCTGATTCAGCCCAGTTCTAGAGTGGAACTGCCGGTTCAGCCCGGTTCACACATGTACATGTGTGTCCAAGCGTACGTGTGAGCATGCCCCACGTACACTCACACGCACACACATGTGTCCGAGCGTACGTGCAAGCGTGCCCCACGCACACTCACACGCATACACATGTGTCCGAGCGCACGTGCAAGCGTGCCCCACGCACACTCACACTTGCACACGTGTGTCCGAGCGTACTTGCGAAAGTGCCCCACACACACTCACACGTACACATGTGTGTCCAAGCGCACGTGTAGAGGTTACCCTAATATTCTTATGCACATTTTATAGTTCATATTGCGTAGGTATTTATATACCAAAGTTGAATACCCATTTTTCGATGTGGAATAATTCCCAAACATCATTAAATGAAAACGAAATGTAAATATAGTCTATTAATCAGCAACTTATAATTGTATGTAGTTAGATGACTTGATGGTTATAACTTTGATTTTTTTAATTGAGGTCCCAAGGTCGAATCCTTTTGGGCATGTGTTGCATTCAAATCCCCTTGGGCATGTGTTGCATTTTTATTGTGTATATAGTGGTTGGTATAAATATAAATATTTTTGTTGTATTCGAATACCCTTGGGCATATGTTGCATTTTTTGTTGTATATATAGTGGCTGGTATAAATATAAATATTATTGTTGTGTATATAGTGGTTGGTATAAATATAAATATTTTTGTAAATAATATAAAAGACATAAAAAATGAAAAATTAATTTTTTATATAACAGTTAATTTTTGTTGTATATAGTGGTATAATTATTTTTGTAAATAATATGAAAGGTATAAAAAAATAAAAATAAAAAGTTTATTCTATTTGAAATCTACATCTTTCTACTAACAATCTCTTTTATTAAATTTATTATAGAAACCTAAAAAAATAAATTTTTGAAAAATTGAAGTGTTATTTCTAAAATTTGTACGCATTTTATTAATTTTTACATTGATAACCAAATCTTTTATTTTATATATGAATTTTTATATTATAAATCATGTAATGTACTATTTTTCTTACAGTTGTCAATAATACATTTTAAATTAGATAATATTATAAAATATTTTTCATTTGTTATTATTTGGCTAATAAAATAATTATAAAATGTAAACTAATAATTATAATTTCAGTATATAATATTATAATTAGTGAGGTTGTAAAAATTTTGGATTATAGTTAGTTTGACTGTAATAGTTTGGGTTTTTTTAGCGGGTTAGGGTTTTTTGCCAAAACGAGATTTTAATGGCCTTTTTTCACTGATTAGTCTACTCTTTATAATAGTCCATATATAATTATATATTTTATCCTTGATAATTCTATGATTTTTCTTTTATGTGATGCAAATTTAATAGTTAAAATAAATTTATACATGGAAAGAACTTCTCAATATTCACAAATTGATAAAAAAAATGAAAGTTAATAATGTAGTAACCTCATTTTTTATTGGATTCCTAAAAAACAACATTTATAATGAATTTTAATAATTTTTTCGGATTTTTTTGAAGCTTTAATCCGACCGATTCAGCCGATTCCCGATCCGGATCGTCGATTCACCGATCCGGATTGGTTTTTGAGGTGTCCGATCCGGGTCATCGATCCATTTTTTAAACCATTGGTTTAGAGCCTAGGCTCCATACAAACCGCACCCTGACTATTATTGACAATTATGATTGCCAGAAAAAAAAAAAATGTCAAGAAAAGAAAAAAAAAAAAAAGAGGAAGTAGGGAAGAAAAAAAAGAACAAGGAAAAAAAAAAAAGAGAAGACGTTTCTATAAGGCTTAAGCTTTACCCAAACAAAAAAAAGGTTCACCTCAAGTCTTTGTCTAGAATAGCCCCATTAACATCATACAAGAGAATGCTTGGCAGCACTTTCAACATCAGAAATATCTGCAATGGATCTAAAACAATTTTGAACATTAACAATAAAAATTTTAAACTAAAAAAAAATAATAGATCTTGTGGAGCTATGAACATTTATTTTTAAGGTAAAATGAACGGCCTAGATAATTTATTACAATATGCATAATTTTTAGAGCTTAAAATCCTAAAAAAATTTCACAATTAATATGTTCACGCTGAGATGGTTGATATAATGGTTTTCCAATACATAAATTGTAATTTTGGATGAATTATGAGGTTAGACATTACTCGTTTTCATAGAGTTGCAGCCCATGAAACCATCTTCCTTTCAAAGCCAAGTACTATAAATCCGTAAGATCTATACCTTTTGTTGAGCTTCAACTTTCATGGTCGGTATTGAAAATTAATTTTAGATCTATTATAGATATTTTCGATGCTCAAAATTACTTTCTAGATTATGATCCGAAGTCTTTGTTTTCATTAAGCATAGGCCTTGTAAAAACTGAATCCATTTTGAAAAGCCTCCCCTTGGTTTGGAGTCTCTTTCCCTCTAAATCTATAAATTATTTATGCTTATGACACCTAGGGCCACCTACCGACCACGCCTAAAAAGTGGGCTACCGACCAAGCAATATCATGAAAATCTATTGTCACTCATATTTAAAAAGAATTTAAAGTTCTAAACATAGTGCGGATGAAGCATATCTATACTTTTGATAATCTTGAAAATAGATAGTCCATATATTGTATTAAAAAATGAACTATTTTTAAGATTTGAAATTCTTTCATTTTCATAACCATAAATCTCATAGTCGAGATGCTCAATTAAAGGGTCCTTCCGACATCAAAACAACCTTATCCAGATGGTGTTCGAGTGTACCTTACATAAACTTCTACCCTAAAAACTTTTCATCTATATTTAGACAAGCGTTCTAAATTTAATTTTATTTTTAAATTCTAAAACCCTAGAGCACACTCTCTTAATATGCTATAGACGCTCTCAACTGTTTTCCAGCCTATAATATTTTGTGAATATACCATAGATCCTAAATAGATATCCCAAATATCCTATTTTAAAAAATTAAATATTCTTCTAATATTCCCTAAAATACCTCCAAGATATTAAGTATATCCTTAGTATCTCATTTTTAAGAAGCCAAAAATATTCCCAAAAGCCAAGAAAGGTAGGTTAATTTTCTCAAATCTCACCGTGAGGAATCCAATACCCAAAATAGGTAATTTCAATAACCAAGAAAGAAAAGCACGGTAAGTTGCCACTTTAAAAAAATATCTAATTTCGATCAAACCACCACCAATGAACTCACCACAATATGGAATAAGCTTGTAAAAGTTCTTAAAGGAAATATTTATAGACGTACACTGTACCTCATAATATGACGTGAAATTTCTCTCCCGTACACCACATAATGTGAGACAGTCCATATGTCACATCTGATTTGCTCCAGACCGCCGCCTTCCAATCTTGGGGCGTATTTTGCCTGTAAACGAGTATTTTCTCTATCTCTCCAAGAGAACGTGATATGCACAAAAACCTTGACCTTAATCCCTTGTCACAAGAACTTGCAACCCTCAACCCCTAACTTAAGCAATTCGAATCCTCGATTCGAGACACTGCTTCATCCAATTATGGATAAAAAAAATGGCCCTTTTAAGTCATTCAAAAAGCCATAGATATAAATTTTAGACATCTCTCTCTTCCCCAACGTTATTCATTCATGTCCAAAGTTCATCACATAGTCATGATTGTCTGGTAGTGTTTCATTTTTCATTTTTTTCTATAAATTGGAATGATTTGAAATTTGAAGCGTATGTACATCTTAGTGAGGCGCACCTAAAAAAAATATGAAAACATATTTCACAAAATAAAAATTGATCAAAATACCCCTATAATTTTTCAATGGTATTTTGATCAATTTATATTTTTGAATTATTTTTTTATATTTTTATTAGATTCTTCTATTTTTTATGAACACACGCTCCAAATTTCATATCATTCCGATTTGTAGAAAAAAAATAAAAATTGAAATACTACCAAACAACTGTGATCGTGCGATGAACTTTGGATAGTGATGAGCATAGAAAAAATCCCTGTTCATTTTCGCCTATAGGCGATTCGTAGCGTTTTCCTAATACTAATATTAACATATATTTGTATTATATTAATATGTTATTTATTTTTTATAATATAGTATATTATAAAATAATATATTATTTGTATAAAATGTTATTCATAAATTATATATTAAAAATTATTGAAATATAATTAATATATAATATATATTATTTTATATATAAGTAAAATATTATATAATATATATTATATTATAAATAGTGAATAGTGGCGTGTGAAACTAAAAGCACAGGAACGTTTCTCAGCCTCAGCCCTGAATTGAACAATTTCATGGTAAATTTTTTACCATGGGATTTATTTGCATATACAATACATATCAAACTAATGGTTT